CCTTCAGCGCCTGCTCGCCCGAGGGTGGCTGGTGCCGTGTCCGTGACAGCGGTGCCGAGGTACCGTCCGGTGCGCGGGTCCGTCCCGGCGGGCGGTGAGGCGGCAGCGGCTCAGCAGTCCCAGCCCCCAGCACCAGGCGGGGGGGTCAGCAGGCCGGGCCGGCCCATCCCGCAGTCAGGGCTCCTCGTCGGTCATGTCCCGGATGCTGCCCAGCAGCGCCGTGAAGGTGGGGCGCTCCTCCGCCTTCTGCCGTGAGAGAGGGGGGACCCTGCTGCGGCCTGCCAGCCACCCCTGAGGGGCCGCAGAGCCGTGTCAGCCCCCCCAGGGCAGCTGGGAGCCATCATCGAGGGTGAGAGCAACTTACCTCGTGCCAGCAGCTGTACATGATGGCGTAGACCCGCTCGGAGGCCTGCTGTGGCCGGTAGAGCCGCAGGCCTTGGATGACGTGCTCTGTTGTCTCGCTGTTGTTAAACCTCTCGTAAGGCATCTTTCCCAGAGAGTAAACTTCCCACATCAGAACGCCTGTTAGAGGAAATGGCAAGGACAGGTCATGGCCAGGGAGCATCTGTGCCTGATGGTGGTTTGCAGAGATCGCAGTGGTTGTGGCACCCTCTTCCCAACATCCAAGTCATTAATGCCACGCTCTTACCAAAAGCCCAGACATCAGACTTGCTGCTGAACTTGCTGTACAGAAGCACTTCAGGGGGTGACCACCGCACTGGAAACTTTGACCCCATGGAGCTTGTATACTCGTCATCTAGAACATACCTGCAGCAGATAAATGAATCATGGGCCTGTCTCGGATTTCACATTTCACTCCTCCATGCAACCCATCAAGCCCAAAAGGAACCAACAGCTCTCAGACTGACCAGAGGTTGCACTCCACGTGGGTTTCAACAGACAAAAATGTCCCTTTGCAAACAAGTGTATGGTAGTCAAAAGGGATAGGGTGACACACAGGAGCATAGCAAAAAGGGGATGCAAGAGAAAGCTGCAGCCAGGATACTAGAGGTGGGGAAAGAAGCAAAGAGCGGGGGAAAAGGGACAAAGAGAAGTAAGAAAGGGATGGTGGAAAGTGGAGGGGCAGAAGGTTCAGCCAGATAGATAAAGCAGAAAGACAGGAGAGGACAAAGGAAAAACAGAGCAAGAGGATGGTGGGGAGAAAGACTAAAGCATAGAAGAGACTGGAGGAGATGGGGGATTGAGACAGGAAGGTGACACAGATATATACCAGACCTGGAAAGGCCAAAATCTGATACTTTCACAATTCCTTGGTCATTCACCAAACAGTTGCGAGCAGCCTGTTGATGGAGAGATGGAGGCAGTCACTCCTACCTGCTCCTGCCTCTCCCATCACCCTGTACCACCAGGAACTTCACCTCCCCCACACCCACTTAACACTCCCTCACGTCTCCTACAGGTTCACCTGGACTGGGGCAAGCTACAAAGTCCTCAGCAAAGCTAGCAAGAGAGACCTCCAGGCACCCTGTTTATCTATGGAGGAGAGACTTCCCTGGCCAGACTGCCTGAACAAAGCACCACCAGAAGGAGATCAGGTATGACACCTAGCAGGACTGCAAGCTGGCAATGCCAGCGCAAGGCCTGACAAACTGCAGGCTCAGCTTTTCATGGGGGTCAGGAGGTCCCTTTTCATGTCTGAGCCTGTGATTCTGCCTGTGCTGCCTAACGCAAACTCTGCCCTAGCCACAAATGTCTTTCCCATCCCCTGTAAAACTACCTAGTCCTGTCCTTTCTGCAATCTCTGCTAAGTCACTGCAGAGCAGTGACTTCAGCGCATTCCACCCATGCTCGGGTGGGCAGTGAAGCTTAGAGGGAAGTTCTCCAGAAAAGGCTGCAGAATTGCCACTCATGTTGATGAATATGCTAGACCCTGCCTAGGACATGCTGTGACTGTCGCTGAGCTGGAGATGTGTCCTTCAGCCACAGCCCTACCAGGTCTCTGTGCAGGAACTGCTTGGATTCCAGGTACTCCATAGCTTCACAGACGTCCTTGCACATCTCCAGCAATTCAGCGGGCTGGAACCGCCGCCGAGTTTCCCGCAGGAAGTTCAGGAGGCAGCCGTTGGCCATGTACTCAGTGATGATGAAGATGGGACGCTGCTTGGTGCAGACCCCATAGAGCTGCACCAGCTTCTCATGAGACAGGTTCCTGTGTTGGGCATAAGAAGGGCAATTCTGAGCATCTAGAAGGCCAAGCAGCAAAAGAAGCATCTGTGAAGAAAGAGAGTTTGTGAAGGGAAGGTGCTCCTTGCCCAGCTGACGGTGGAAAAGCTCACTGGGGAATGAACACAAAGACAGTAATTTCTTGGATGCATTTTACAGAGTGTGAAGCTGCCTGGTACTGTCCCTCCACACCATAGCAGTGCAGCCGTTCTGGCAAGGCACATCCAGCACTGACCTGCAGGCTGCTCACCACTTACATCATGACTTTGGCTTCGTTGATAAACTCATCCTCTGACATGGAACCCTCCCTGATCATCTTGATAGCAACGTTGTACTGGCCTCTCCATTTCCCGTACTTCACCACACCAAATTGCCCTGTCCCCAGTTCCTTCAGGAAGGTCAGATCCTTGGGGTCAATCTCCCACGACCCTAGGACAGAGAGTGCAAGTGTAACATGGGTGCAGGTGACCTCCCTGCAGGCTGCTCCCAGTCATCTCATCTAGCGAGCCCAAGAAGAGCTCATGAGCATGTGCTGCCTGAAAAACCATCCCCAAAAATCCAGGGAATCCAAGAGCTGTTCCCCCAGAGGGTGGGGAGCAAAGTAGCTTGTGGCGTCTCTTGGTCAGTACTGTCACCAGAGGACCAGTGAGTGCTGGAAAGTGATTCCTGGGAAGGCTGCGAGCCCTGCTGCCATGGACTGTGAGGACCCCACCCCTGGAAGGTTACTGCTGGTAGAGACAGGTCCTTAAACCAGGGAACTGTGAGGTAGCCCAGACCAGCTTACCATAGCCAAGGCCAGCTGTGGATGGAGCACTTTTCTGGTGTTGAGACACGGGGTACTTCAGTCTGGATATGAGCCCTGAAACGCAAAAAGGTAGATTGCCATGCCACGCTTACAGGTCACATTCCAGCAGGGAACACAAGCTTCCTGCCTTCAGTGCAGGAAGGTGAGGATACTGTCATATCAGTAAAAACACTGCTGGCCTCACTCCACCTCCCAGACACTAACCAGCAGAGTTGTGCTGATGGTATGTGATGAGCTCCGGGATGGTGTTGAACAGGTGCTTTTCTGCCAGGTAATACTGATTCTGGGGGGTGCAGCATACAACATAATGGCGGATCGTGCCTTGAGGGTCTCTGTAGAGACATTATGTGGGGTCAGCAGCATGGGAAGGGCAGGCAGAGAGCGAGGGGTGCCTGGAGGGGCCCTCTGAGGTAGGAACAAGCTGTTCTTAAGACCCACTTACACAGAGGACTTGGCATAGACGGAGACAGTGTATTTCCCTGTCTTGCTGGTAGAGTCTCGGACAATGAAGCCCCCTTCCTTACCCTAAAACAGAAAGAGGAGAGGGGCTGGTGTGGTTGTGGGGAGGCATGACTGTAACAGACAAGACTTAAAGTGAGTGAAGGTCACAGTATGGCCAGAGAGGGTGCAATAAGTTAGAGGAATCCTACTTCCAGTCCCTGCCTGGGGGACCACCTCCTGAGTGCCAGTCAGGAGGAGGTCACGCTGGGGTAGAGATGGTTCCTGGGGCTGCTGGGGCAACACTTCCCTCCCAGAACAAGCCAGAGTTGGTCCCATGCTGCACACAATGTGACAGCAGCACTCAGAGGGATGGTGCATAGAAAGGACCCAGCCTTGGGAGTCAACACTTACCTCCTGTTTCAACAGTTGCTCTGCTTGGCTCCGAGTTATATTCTTTGAGTACCACCTGGAACAGGGACACAATTATGAGGGAGATCACCGCAGCCACCCCTGCCCCCAGCCTGGTCTGACCCTGGCCCAGCCAGGACAGGCGGTGCAGGGCAGGGATGGCTGTCAGGGGGCTGTGTAGGAGGGAGAGCCACCCAGCCAGGCTGGGCTCACAGGCTGCGTAGGTTAACAGAACTGAATGTAAAAAGTCTCCAACTAAGTGCAACATGCCACGTCCCTGCGCCTTCTCTTACTCACTCAAAGATCTCCAGGGAATTGCTGGTTTCAGTGACATAGTTGCTGGGGATGTATCCTTCCTTCCTGCAGGAGAAAAGGGGATGGTCACACACTGATGGAGGAAGCCAAGGGGAAAGCAGGTTCCTGCCCCAGGAGGCTGAGTAGAAACGGGCTCAAAAACCTTGGAGCAAACCCATCGGGGTTCACGCTTGGGGAAGGCTGATACCACAGTCTGCTTCAGTCTCCCTCACCCTTCTCATGTGGCACCCCAGGCAGTAGCCCACAGACAGGCAGCCTGTCCGAATACCCCGTGACGCTGAAGGGGTGTGTTTGCCCACCAGTGCCTTGGCACCCAGAGAGGGCACCGTCGGCGGGGCGGGTGCTGCAGGCAGTGGGAGTTCTTACCCGTTCTTGTCACGGGCTTTCCACCAGGGCAGGTGGGTTTCCTCCAGGATGAAGTACTCCTCACCCTTCTGCAGTTGCAGGTCCTGCGCGTTCATTGGCAGGTAGTTGTAGAGGGCCACTACCTTCTTCATGTCGCCTGTGGTGCTGGTGGCCGGCTCAGGAGGCAGGGGCTTCATCACCATCTTCCCCAGAGCGAGGGAGAGCACAGGACATGGTGAGGCTGGCAGACACACTTTTCCCCAGGCCAGACCCTCCCCAGGCCTGGCAGGGCAGTGGGCTCAGGCCAGGTCAGCACAGTGTTCATCTCAGCTCCCACATGTATTTCCACCAGACCAATCACCGCCCCCAGTGCTTTTTATTGCAACATTTCCTCCTTGGAGATCAGTCCTCACAAAAGGTTTCTTTCTCTCAAACTTTTGGCTTAACCCGTGGCTCCTCTACCCTACTATCAGACCTTCTCTATCCTCCCAGCTCCCCCTGGGGAACCTCAGGGGTGAGATCATTTGACTTTTCTCCAGGCTTTTGCGCTCCATCCTCTGGTTCAAGCTCCTGCTCCCTTAGGGCACCATCTTCACAGCCCTCTCCAGAGCAGAGCTCCGGGCTGTACATCTCAGAGAAATGCCCTGTCAGTCACTGAACATGTTGTGTTGGCTTTCCCCAGGTAGACCTTTCCTTAAACACCCTGGAGCAAACCCACAAGCTGATGCTGGCCCCTACCTGGTCCTCTTCAGGAGTGGGGGGAAGAGGTTTCTTTGTCTTGCGATGTGACCGCCCAACTTTTAAACCTTCAGAACACAAAAGGGACTAAGGTGAAAAGAGATCCCTGGCGTCATTCTGCAGTAGTCCCCTGGGGCTGGGGACGGGGCAAGGAGAGGGTGCCCGGTGTCTTACTGCCATTCCTGCTCTCCAGGATCTGGCAGCCCATGGCATTCTTGGCTGTCTGGGAGCAGCACAGGTACTGGCCATCAATCCAGAAGCAGGGGTGATACTTCTGTACCAGGTCACTGTTGTACCGGATCACTGTGGCAGAGGAGGGGAGATGCACGTGACCCAGGGGTGTGGCCCCAGCCCACTGTGGAATGGTCTCTGCTCCCTGAATGCAGATGATCAGCCCCATTGAACCGTTTCATCCTCTGCTGTGCTACCGATACACGGGGCCAGATGTGGCCCTGCTGCTTAGGTTTCCCTCAGCTCTCAGCTCATCACTCGTGTTTCGGTGCTGCAGCTACGCAAACCCTGTGCCACAAAACCCCTAGCTCAGGGAGGGCTAGGGATGTCCCCTCAGATTTGATCAAAGCTCTTCAGCTCCACAAAGGGACACAAGCATGCTTGGAAGGCCAAATCCTGCTGTGATTGCCCCTCCTGCCAGCCGAAAATTCAGCATCCCCTGGGCTGCTGACAGTTTGCAGTTCTTTTGATCCCTTTTTATCAGAAGTGGGGTGGAAGGCCAGTGCTGTGCCTGGTGTGTCCATGGAGAGAGCAGGGCACTGCCACGACCCCCTGCCTGCTCAGAGACTTCCCTTGCTGGGAGACCACTTCCTTGCTGGGCAGGCACTGACAAGCTTCCTCATACTTCTCCCCAGGCTGGACGGACAACTGGATGTGCCTGAACACCATGGCAGCAGAGTGCTGGGCACAGCAGCTCTGCTGGGTGCAGAGAGCCCCCTCTCTTGTGGAGCAGGATGAGGGCATCCCAGCAGCAAGAGGCCAGCATTTTCTCTCCCCTTTTTCCCTGCGGATTTTACACTGGCTTCAGCTGCCGCAGCAACCCCCCTCCCATAGCAGGGAAGTGGGGAGGAGGCTGGCTGCTTGTCAGGGCAGAGCAGCAGAGTTCTCGTGAAATAACCGACTTCCCCGTTATCAGCCTGCTCTACTTCCGCCTCACTCAGGCAAACTTCCCTGTGTCAATTTGAACAGCTAATCTCACCCGCACCCGCACCAAGCCACAGAAAGATACACATGCACCAAGAGACACAGGCAGCTCCAGCAGATTTTGGCCGACTGCAGGCACCGGACCCCCCTGCACAGTGCTGCTGCAACACGCTCCCAGCTCGAGGCAGCAGCACCCATGCAGCTGAGTCTGAGCCCGGCAGCACTGAGAGAGGCTTGGGGTGGGTTAGGAGAGACACTCCCTAGGTTCCAGCAAGCTTTTTGTCGGCCTTTCCTAAAGCACTGGCAGCCCTGCCCTTGCCTTGCATGCCATGTGTGCTATTTCCTCTTGCCCTCTGTAACTTTGAGCCTGCTTGAGCCAGCTTGGAGCAGGCTTGTGAGAGTGCAAGAAGCCTCATCTGAGGTGGCTGCAGTGCTGCAGAAGTCAGAGGGTGACAGAGACCTCCCCAAGGCAGGCGCAGCTGGTGTCAGCTCAGGATGCATGTGGGGGCAAGGCCTTACGAGTGTGCTCCTCAGGGGAGAAGTTTCTGATCAGCACTCGCTCTTCCATAAACATGAGATAATATAACCACGAGATAGCGAGTCCCCAGAAACTCAGTGCTGTGGGTTGTGCCACACACACAGCTCATTGCTTGTGTTTGCTTTCCGAGGGAGCCACAGAGCCCCTAAACTCACCGCTCTTCAGCTGATGGATCCAGCGTTTGCGCAACTCCTCCGTCGGGGAGAAGACGTAGAGGGGCCCTTCATCGTATACCACCTGCAGGACCACATGCCTCAGCGACCCAGCTGGGGGTCTCCCGGGGAGGACAGGGAGGAGTAGAGGGTTGTGGCCACCCCGAGCAGCCAGCACAGAGCACAAGCTGTTGCCAGTGTGTGCCAGCCCTGCAGTGCTCGCGGGACCGTGACGGAGAGTTTATAAATAAGCCCCCTCCCCGGAGACTTTCCACTTCCTTCTGTGACTTTCAGTGCACGGGGGAGGGGGGGGGGGCTGTGCTGGATAACAACAGGGGCAGGCAGCTGGGCTGCGGTCTGAGTGGGCAGCTGGCAGACAGTGTCCCTCCAGCATCAGCCAAGGGATGAGACAGAGCTCAGAAGCAGGTTTTCATCTAAGCATACCCCTTAAATAGAGCTGCCCAATTCCCTGGGGCTGGCAGAGGCTCACCTGCCAGCCTCACACAGCACAGACAGCAGCAGGGCGTCCCCAAACAGCTGAATGACACCTGGCACTGGGGAAGCGATGCTGTGTTTGGCCCCAGGTCCCTCTGGGGTCCTCCCCCCAGCACCCTGAAGCTGCAAAGGGGTTGCAGTGAGGACTCACCTGGAAGGGGTAGGGGAACCGTTCGATGATAGAGATCTGCTCCATGTTGTTGTAATCGTCTCCTTTCCTCTGGAAGAGAGAGGCAGAGATGGACGCTGGCATCCTGCTGCTCAGCTGCTGGCATCTCCCCTGGCACCCACAGCCTTTAGTGTCCCCCTGCTCCCCCCGCCCTGCCTGCCCTGGTATGGTATGGGCTGCGGGTGCAGAGCCCCCCAGGGCAGCAGAGCTGTCCCCCATTCCCACCACCCCAGGGCAGGGGAGCCCCCTGCTTCCCCAATGGGGGGCAGGGGGACACAAGTGGGGACCCTGGGACCTTCCTCACCGGGACCTGCCGCTCGGGGGGAGGGTTGTTTTCAGGCACCACTGTCTCCACACAGGTGATCTTCTCGATGTCCACTGAGCCCTTCTTACTGCCCCGGCGCTGCAAGAGACAGGGTCAGTTCAAATGATCGCCAAGGGAGGAGACCTGGGGAGACTCAAGCCAACCACCGTCCCCGTCCAACCACCCCTTGGGCTGGGTCCTGGCAAGGGGCAACTAGTGACCCGTGGGCACAGCCATGGCACAGCCCTTTTGGCCCTGGGGCTGCCAACTCACCCCCCGCTCAAAGTCATACTCGTAGTAGGACAGCTTGCTCTCCGTCAACAGGAACAGGCGCTTCTTGAAGTTGAGGGGAGATGTTTTCTTCTTCTGCTGTGAGCGCTTCAAGAAGATGCTCTCCAGGATGACACTGGCCATGTCAGCCCCTCTGGCCTCCTCCACGCTGTGCTCGGCAGGTTGCTGTGAGCAGGACAACACCAACACAGCACTTGTTCAGCTGAAAACTTGCCCACCACTGGACCTTGCTCAGGTGCACTCTCCCCCCTGCCCGAGGGGCAGCCAGAGGGTGCAGGAACCCCCACGGCAGGGGCGGGGAAATCAGCTGCAGAGGTGTGTGAGCAGGTCAGTGTGGGGTATTTGCAATGCAACCTCTCCCTCTCCTGTCCCCTCTCTGACACCAGGCTGCAGACCAAGCCACCACCCAGGTGGATTTGGCTCCCACCAGGTGCTGGATGGGCCCCCTCGGGTGTGCAGATGGACAGACAGACGGCTGGAGAGGGAGGGAGCCGGGGAGGCTGTGAGAAGTGTAGCCCTGGGGAGGAGCACAGAGCCCAAGCAGAAACACCCAGCAGGTTCCCTCCTCCCCTCCAACATCGTGTGTGTCTGTCTGTGTGGGCTGTTTCCTCCTGCCACACCGCAGGCGCTTTGTGCTGGGGACGTGCTGACTTGGCAGTGTGCGAGGGATGGCCGCGGGAGGCCAGTCCCTAATAAGTGGTGGGTAGGTCCTGGCCCCGAATAGCCGCAGAGCCGTGCTGCCTAGAGCACGGCATAGCCCTAAAACCTTCTGTCCCCCTGCGTCCATGGAGCCTGCAGGAGTGCAGGGATGATGCTCAACCCCTTTTCCTCCCCTGCGATCAGCCCTCGCTGGGCTCAGGCTTGAAGGGCTGTCTCCAGCCAGGACCCAGCGGGTAGCCCAGCCTTCCTCAGTGGAGCTCTCCTCCCGGGCCTCTCCAGGGGCGGTCTGGACAGGAAAGGGCTCAGATGAGAGCCCCACGTCCCACTGCTGCCCTGCCTTCGGGGGGCCGGCAATCCACCCTGGCCCGTCTGCCTCTTGGAGCAGCCCATCCATCTCTCCCTCTGCCGCTCCATGCTGCCCCAGGGCCCTGTGACACCCAGACGGTCCCAGCATCCCCAAGGGCTGTGCAGCTGGCGCTATGGGCTTCTCCTCATCCCAGGGCTGGAACAACCACCTGCCCCAGCCTGGACCTAACAGGGAGCTGATGGTGTGGTGGCACTGCTGAACTGAGATCCCCTGGAGCACTCCTCCATGCCTTGTGATACAGGGGGGTGTGAGGGGATATGGAGGGGTTTGGGGGTGATTTGGAGGATATGGGGAAGTTTTGGAGTGATTTGGGGCATATGGGGGGTTTGGGGGTGATGTGGAGGGATATGGGAGGATTGGGGTAATATTGAGGTAAAAGTGGTATTTTTGAATGATGTGGGGAGGTTTTGAGGTGATTTTGGGGATATAGAGGAGGTTTTGGGGGTATAGTGGTTTTGGGGGTGATATGGGGGGATTTGGGGAGGTTTTGGGGGTGATTTGGTGGGATACGGATGGTTTGGGGGTAATATGGGTGATATGGGGTATATGGGAGGATATGGGGGGGATGGGTTGATATGGGGTCTAATTTAAGGGAATATGGGCTCCCCTGGAGCCACACCTACATGCCCTGCTCCTCCTTCACCTCCACCTTGTTCCCTTTTTTCTCCTGCAAACACAGCTTTGGAGACCAACCTGGGAGAAGCTGTTTCCCTCCCCTGCTGCCCACAGCCCTGCAGAGAAGGCTTAGAGGTGGGTCAGAGCGGGAGACACAGGTTGGCTCACTTGTGAGAGGGACTGGGTGGGCACCAAAGAAGCTGGTCCCACCTGCTGTGCCTCTCTGCAGGGCATGCCAGCCCGGGGGCAGGAGCAGGGGCATCCCCCCACCCCCTTGCAAAGCCCAGACTCTTCCAGCACAGATCCTGCTGCGGCAGCCCTGCCCCTGCCACTCCGCAGCAGCTAGAGCCAGAGAGGCTGGACACAAGCAGGGCTTCCCACTCCCAGGGTCCCCTCTTCCTGCCCCTTGTGGCCCTCATGGCTCAGGCCTTTCCAGCTTGTTTGACTGGTTTAATAATAAAATTTAAAAAAAAAAGGCAAGAAATTAATCATTAAAGTCTTTTAGGAAAAACAGCAGCCTCTGCTGGCTGATCCAGGCCTGGGGAGGAGGCAACTGGGGTCCCTGCTGGGGACAGGGCAGGTGGCTGGAGTGGCCACTGACCCCAAATTGCTGGTGGGGTGGTGGGTGAGCCCAGAGTGACCCCAGAATCCCCCTGTAGCCCCATGCCTCAGTTTCCCAAGCTGTATAATGTGGCTGCTGGTCCTGTGTCCCAGGAGCAGGAGGGCTCCCATTGTGTGTCCCCCCCCTGCCAGACACGGGAGCTGAGCAGTGGCCCTGGGCTCCAGCCCATCCTGACTGCAGTGCCAGGTCCCCAGAAGCTTTACCTTGAATCGCAGCAGCTGGGTCACTGCCACCAGTGCTGGGCAGATGGGACACGTCTTCACTGTGTCCTCTGGGATGGTGCCGCCAGAGAGGAAAGGATGATGAGCATCTCAGAGGGCTATTCTGCCCCAGCATAGCACAGCCACCCGGTCCCCAGCACAGCCTCCCTGTCCCCAGCATGGCATAGCCTCCCTCTCCCTGGCACTGCCACCAGCCTTCATCCGTCCCAGTCTGTCCTTTGGGGTGGTGGGTGCCCCACGGGACTCACCTCCACAGCCAGCCATCGCTGCCCCACTGTGACAGCAGAGCTGGCGAGTGGGTGGAAGCATGTCCTGTGTGTGTCCCCTCAGCTAATGTGACTTCCTGCCACTGTCACACCTCAGCCGAGTGTGCTCTGACACCACCACCAGGCCCAGCACACACCATTAGCCCTCTTCCACCAGATGCTGTACCCCACCATAGTCCTGGGGCTCCCTGGCCCCTGCCCCTGGTGTCCTGCTAAGGAGCCGAGCCTGTCCGCCACCGCTGGCTAACGGGGGCTGGCATGCTCAGGGCAAGTGGGAAGGACGACAGGGTGTCTGGGGATGATAAACTCCCCAGCCCCTGTGTTTCAGGTGCAGCCTGGAGGGTGACAAAAATGAAGGGTGGGAGGCACAGAGGAGACAATCTCCCACATGGGAGAGACTCAGGAACAATGAGAGAGCTGCCCCACAGCAGCACCCACTGCAAAAAGCACAAGCAAGGAACGGTCAAAGGCACGGTCAGCACCCTGACACCCTGGTCATCCCTGGGGTCCCTGGCACCCACATACCACCCTGATCCCGTGCTCCCATGCAGCCCCAGAGTCCCTGGCACCCCTACACCACCCCACCGCCCTGCTCTGCTGCACCCCCATGGCACTGCGGCCCCACAGCAGGTGTCTCACCACCAGTCAGATGTGACCTGCTCAGAGCTGGGCAGGCTGCAGGACAAGGCCGAGACTTTCCCAGCTCGGCTCACGCGCAGCTTGGCAGCATGTGGCCTGCACCCGGGATGGCTTTCCCGCCCCCAGCAGGCACCACGGGCCCCAGCACCACCGTGGAGGTGAGCAGAGGTGTGAGGCCACAAGCAGGTGCCACATGGAGGCTCCGGCCTCCCACTGCCATGGCTGCCCCGCAGCGACATTTACAGGGCCGTGCTGGCACCTGGAGCACCGCCACCCTCGTGTTCCCCGCTGTGGCTCTCCCCGCAGCACATGGTGCTGGGACACGGCTCCCCTGGGCCCTCCATGCCCCTGCGCACTCACCAAACCCCCTCACCGCCGCTCCACACCCGCTCCGAGCGGCCCAGCCTGGCGGGTCCGGGGTGGC